AAATGGTCATCTTAAATAATTTTACAATAATAGGAATAAGGTTTGGGGTTAAGGGTTAGTGCAGGGAACGACAAGCTCTTCAGCAACTTGCCGCTTCGTTTTGGCATTTCATCTGTCACGCTTTCATGTCAAAGGGTGAGACATGTTGCTCCACGTCCAACTTCTTTGTGCCATTCGTCCACGCGCCGTGAACAACTTGAGGAGCCCGCTTGTAAGCACTTAAGTTGATACATGCTGGTGCTACCACGATCCACTTGATGCACTGGATATTGTTCAAATCTCTGAAATACCTAGTCATGGTTGCATGGAGAGCCCCAATCTTGCAGTCGTGCGTCTCTGCCTTGGTTATCTGAAGCAGCCAAAGTGTCTGACTCGATGATCCAGTGACAAAGAACAAGTCCGCTGCAGCGAACACCTCCGACGAAGGATTGTATAGCTTGTCTGGAATGAGGCCAGTTTTGGCTACCACCTTGTCCCGCGTCTTGAGCTCCTCAAAGTTGCTTGGAATCTTCACTGTTTGTTCTTTCGAGCCTTTGTTTCCGATGGGAGTGTAGCGAAGTTGGACCTCTCCATCCGCTGTCAGCTTGTGCTTCACGTGCTTCTCAAAAAACTTGCCGACCAACGAGCCCATTAAGCCCTCAGCCACGAAGGTGGTAATGAACTCCAACCGCTTTTCTTGCTCATGCAGCTTCAACTTTTCCGTGAGAGCGTCTACGGCAACTTCGGAGTCAACGAACTGCATCTTCATGTTATCCTCGGTGAAGTCTGCCTCCGAATCCATTTGAAACATGTAGCTCATCCTGCTGTCGCTCGGGTTGACCAAGTTGTCAGGAGTCGACACCGCTCGCTTCACAATTGTTGACAGGTGACTGACATCGCTGCATGTTATGTATTTTGCAAGTATTTTCTTTGCCTCCTGCTTCTTCACAAGCACCCGCTGCAACCAACGAACACATCCACCAACTTTGGCATAGGCGTCTTCAACATTTGCTCGGTCGAGCTCTGCCCCTTCAAAGAGAGCGGCGGCATGCTTCCATACTTCGGCTGCCTTCCAGATAGGCATGAACCTCTTTGTGCTGTGCCTCTGTAGCTGACTCCACGCTGAATGGTAACTCGTGTGGCTGGGCGATGTGAACACAATCGTGCAACCCTGTGCGCGATACTCCACTGCTGCCTTATTCTCGCCACCAATCGGGTCTGCGAGGAGCAGCGTCTCTGACGAATCCAGCAGCCCTAATGGCTTTGTCTCACCATGACTTACCGTTTTGCCCGCAACAGGTCGCGACCACCATCTGTTCCCACGCTGAATGACGATGGCACTCTTGTTCTCCTCTGCGAAATACGCTGCCACGAACGCAAGAAACACAGACTTTCCTGTGCCCGGAGTGCCAGTCACGACAAACAAACCTGTGGGCGCCTTGGCCATTTCCTTCAACCATGTAGCGATTTCCTCCTTCATTTTGATGTAGCAGTCTCGGACGACCAACTTGTCTCCCATGTCGGTGACGCCCAAGATGAAGTTCTTGAAGTCTACCACCTGATCTACTTTCCACTCCCTGGGTGTCGTGCCGATTGCTTCCTCTAACCACCGGCAAAGGTCGTCTTCAGAATCTGCAACCTTGCCCAGTCACAAGAACAAACTACCTCCTAAACCCAGTAACTCAATCCACCAGCCTAGGACTAAAACAAAAAAACACCCAACCCCCTAAAGCCAACTAAGCAACCCAATCAACAAACCCAATCGGGAAACCCTACGAGGAAACCAAACCTAGGGGGAATAAACCACTACGCTACAACCAAGGAGCCAACCCCTAAACCCATAAATAAGGTAATCAACTAAACCTATCGGCAAGGGCTACGAGTAAAACGGGAAAGAGTACAAACCCAGAGGACCAAAAACAAGCATGTTATATTGGAGCTGAAGGGCTGGTGGGGGGAAAGTGCCTTTAATCCGGCCTTGCAGCGTTGCAGCCACTATACGCCGCTGATCCCTGTCAGGAACGCTGTCTTCCAAAAAACTGAATAGGTCCGTTGCTGATTGTGTGCGGAGGACATCTTCCGGAGTGCGGGCCAAGAGCTTTGCCACAGCCTTGCTCACGTCGTCGCTCACACCACAATCATGAAGGCATTGCAGAAGCCAATCACAGGTGAGTTTCCGCTTTTTGGCGTTAGGCTCCGCCATTGCAATGAAGGGTGTTGCGCATGGAGCTATATTGGATATTGCACTTATCTTATGTCTAATGTCCAAAGATGTGAACCCAATGGAACAACGTGAAGCGCGTTTTTGTCCCTGTTTCTTGTAAACTGCAAAGCATATTGTCACACTCGTTTCGTCTTGAAGACATGGATGGGCGCGAGACAACAAATTCAAAACATGGCTGAGCTCCGAAACGTCGCGTTACTGGTCTCAAAACAAGTCGTCATGCTGATAACTCAAGGCACCCAGTCGCCTGATTCAAGTCGTTGTAATTCACATCGTAAACAGCCCACGAACTCTACAACGTCACCTCCCTGCCCCAAAATAGAGATGGTTCTGGCCCAACTTCTTTCCTATTAGCTCTCTATTTTGTGGCCGCCTCATTCAGTTCCAAAGCAATTCCGACGGACTTGTACGACGTTCTTCCTGGCAGAGTTCTTTAAATTCCAGCTGGAATTTTATGATGTTCGCAGAGGAATAGTTTGAATATTCTGCGCAGAATTTATTCTGTATGCAGCGCAGAATAAAATCCTTAGGGGAGGGGGAACAAATTCCAATCGGAACTCTAGGAATCTGAACATTTGGATGCTTCATAAATTTAGGAATCTGAACTTTGGACGCTTCATAAGTTCAGCCCATGCAAAGTCGCTAATTCACTCACAACTTGAGGTGTAAGTCGTAGAGCCACTCACAACTTAAGTTGTAGAGCCGCGCACAACTTCAAACATAAACCCGTCAAGTCACATGCAAGTCGCCATGCAACTTAAGTTGCGAAACTGCCCACAACTTGAAAGCAACATCTTTTATTATTACACCTTTAACAACTCAAAACGCAAATACTGCCTAGTATTGCCCTCAACTCTGTAATAATTTTGCCCTAACTTGTTTTCAATATTTTCTATGGTATAAACATTCTGCGACCAGTTGCTTAGTCTTTCTTTTTCATTTGGTTTTCTCTTCCTAAATATCTTAACTTCGTCCCCTACATCTAGTTCGGGATATACGCGGTTCTTCTTTCCCTTCATGGTTAAATTTAGTTTCACTTTGAATTGGTTACTGGGTTTTCGGGCTTCCTTTGGTGTAAATCCCGTGGCCGAGTGCTTCATTTGATTATTATAGGTTAGTAATACTTCTAATATGTAATCTGGCCATTGGATGTTTTGTTTTCCGTTTTTTCATCCGCTTCAACTCTCTTATATAGCATATCTTTAAAAGTTCTGATGGCTCTTTCGCTAAAACTTGGGTGCGCCCTCGTTCTATGATGTTCTATGTTCTCATCTTTCAAATACTTTTGTATTGCCTCCTTGTTCAATGCGCCTTCATCGTCTGTATACATTATTTGTGGTTTCTTACCCATCTTGTTTAAACACTCAATCATTCCACTTGCTACATCTCCTTCTTGTTTGCTTTTTATCGGCACTACATACAGGAATTTATCAAAAACATCAATCATCAAAACACCTACCCTAAACTTTTGTTCTCCAAATCGTTTATAAAAAAAACAAGTCCATTTGATACTCATACGCGGAATGAGGGGCGATAAAGCTGTTTTGACCTACCGGCTTTCTTTTTTGCTCAACATTCCTTCTAAAAAACTCGTTAATATCGCCCATTGTTATAGTTTTGTTTTTCTCCCGTGCTTCGCTTAATGTCCTTTGTTTTGAACCATAACCTGCTCTATCAAAATATACATCATTAATGATTTTCTGCTTCTCGCTCATATAAATAAGTAACAAAAAATAATGATTTAATATGAATAATTAAATCTCATTTTATACAGCATTTGGCATAATTACTTTGTATTCATTCATATCGAATTTGGGAGCTCCGCGCTTCTTTCCGCTAGGCTTCTTATCACTAATGATTTCGGTAATTTGTGTAGGGGTCAAATCTTCTACACTTAAACTATTCTCTGCTATGTATTCCTTAATTTTCTTCTTTTGTAGGTGTCTTAAACTTGCGTCGCGCTTCTTTTGCATAAACTGCTCGTCTTATTTCCTTTTATTATAGTATAACCTCTGATACAATGCCAGTTGTTGCTTAACCTCGTCCATTGTCATATCCTCGGGACCTTTGAAATGTGTCATCTAACTATACTATATATTTATACTAGTTCTTTAAATAAGTTTCTAAATATATTACAAAAATCTTTAGAAAAACTATTTAAAAAGAAATTTAATTTATATTGTAATTATATTGTTATATGAGCAAAAATATTAAGCGTAACACGAGAGCATTACAAACAACCTACGATAACTACAAAAATCGCCTCACACAAGGCACCAGAGAAAAAATACAAAATCTAATTAATTTTTATGAAGACCGTAAAATAGCACAATTCACCACCG